TGAGAAACGTGTGCCAGAGATGTCTGTCCTATGACAGGGCACAAGACCATGGATCATTTTCCTAAGGAAAATTATAAGCTGGAAATTCTTCTCTGGCCAAGTGACTTTGTGGAATAATATTAAAACTTTCCTTTAATAGTATTTACCATTGATCAGATCTTTTTTAAAGATCTAGAGGATATCTGATCTACCTCCTGGTCCTGAATAAATTAGTAAGGCCTATCTGTCTTACCTATGATCCTTGATATTTCATAATAAAATAATTTTATCATGAAATGAATTCACAGGTATTTGAAGGCATGATTCTATTAGGACAACATTTAGCAAATACTTATTGGCCTTTTCTTGTCCTAACTCTTTCTCCCTAAGCTCAAAGAAAGTCTGTTCTTGATTATTGCTTCTCTCCCTTCATCAAGGGTATTTTCAGCCTAGCTACAACTTTTTCTCTATCCAGGTACGTGTGCACCACAGACTTAGTTAAGCTCACTGTCCTTGAAACTCCTTTCCTCTTTTATTTCATATCCTCCTAAGTCATCTGCCTTCTTGAATTTTCCATTGTCAACATCTCAAATGTTCTTCCAATTCTTACTTGAAAGTCAAGCAATAGATTTTGTGGTTGAGCTGCATAGTTTTAAACACAAACCAATTCTCCATTTTTCATTTATCCAGTGTTTTAACTACTGGAATAAAAAAGTGTATAATTATATAAATACACATTTATAGTGACATTGATTACAACAATGACTTCTTTGTCATACCAACAGACAAGCATGAAGTATTTGGTCTAAAATCTCACTAGCCCTTGGCACATCTGGCAGAACATAAAGGAAGAAGTAAAATAAGACCAGGGTGGATATAACTTGTTAGGTGCAGTTTATAGACTTTCTGCTGGGGGAAGCTCTCCTTGGCTTAGAAATGTTATAGAAAAAAACATTCAGAGTCTGAAACCTATTTTGTGAATTTGGTTTGAGTAAGATACATGATCTATCACTAAGCCAGCAGTTTACGGTCAGAGATAAATTCTGGACACTCAGAGGAGCCTAAAAACTGCTTAGCTCTGTGAGAATTCCATGCTAAGGGCTATACATACTAGAAGGAAAAATATACAGGATTCCTGAGGTGTTTATGCCATGAATCTCTATAGAATAAAATGACTTTTGGAGCTTAATACAAAATATCATGTGGGAATGATGCCTTCCACAGTATACTGGTGAGTGTATTGGCCAGCATTTCATTCTCATCATGAAATACCTGAGGGAGCTGGTTTTATGAAGAGAAAATGCTGAAAGTACATGATTGGTCTCCGAGAAGACTGTGGCACATCATGATGGAGAGCAAGCGAGTCGTTATGTCCAGAACCAGGAGAAGAGAGCAAGACAGAGAGGCCCAAATGCAAGCTTTTGTGGTGGCTACCAAGCAGTCCATGAGAACCGTCCCTGAGGGCACACCCCTAGGCCCAAGGGCCTCCCACTGGACCCCACCTCCCAAGACCTCCACCCCAGTGACCAAGCATTCAATTACGGTGGACCTTTGGGGGACATGGCCTTCACATTGCACCACAGTAGGCCTATCAACATTTCTTAGCCACTTTCCTCCTCCAGCAGAGCTGCATGCCATCCCTTCTGCTTTCGGAGTGTTTGTGTTCCGTTCTGCTGCTTGAGTGGAGAAGGGAGTTTCTAATCCTTGACAGCTTGCCTTGAAGGAGGGAGATTACAATCAGAGTTAGAATTAAGGGGCTAAAACTGGTAAACATAGATAAAAACAACTTTAGGAGCCCTCAGGGTGACCGCTGAGGGGACAAATTTGAGAGGCTCTTAAATTGGTTTATTTAGCTGATAAATAATTTATTAAAGGCCCAAAGTTCACACTGTAACAGAGAAGATACTGTTGTTATACTTGTAATGTAGAGAAGACCTAATAGAGAGGGGCTTTCACCTTAATAACAAAATAATGAAAACAGTGTAAAGCCTATGACACTGGATAAATAGTAAGGCTTTGCTGGAGTGACTAGGACAGTTGAAATTGGTAAAGACTAGAAGAAGGGAGAATTCTGACCTTCACAGTGCTGAAAGGTTTGAATCGAAGGATGACCAGCGAGCTGAGGAGGTGGCAGTCCTAGAAAATCAGAGTGGTTAAGAGACCACTAAATAGGACTTCAAGTCAGCAGTCACTACAACAAAATGAAATTAGTGTAAGATACTTAGTGTTCAGCATTACAGACAGAATCAAGGAAAGTGGCATGGTATGAAGGGTAAATTTAATCTGGAATTAGGCGCAAATACCAAATAACAACTATCAGAAACCTATCTTCCAGAATGAAGGAAAAGACATTGAAATGCAAAAAGGTTTTCAACATAGGATTGATAGTATTTGACCACAGACAGGAAGTACAGTGAGCTAATGAAATTTTATCAGTTTCAAAGCTTATGAAAAGATTTATGACCATTGAATGTGGAGATACTAACTTGTTGGGTAAGTAGAAGTCATTCCAGAAATTTAATGCTACGGTTTCAGTAGAGTGCTCCTAAAATGTTTGCTTACAAGATCCACATGTCAGTGCTTCTCCACCCAGCTTGATATAAATTGATTTGGTGAGAGGTCATAGAACTAACCCAGTGAGTCGAACATCCACTCTTCCATTTCATTCTAATTTGTTATGGTCACTTGGTTTCCACCTATAAATACAGCATTGGCCTGGGATGGGTGCAGCCTACAAACACAGCACCTCGTTCACAGGCCCACATGAAAGCGACAGAAGGGGAGGACAGCAGTCCTCTGTCCTTTGCCCTTTGGCTTCTTACCCTTGCAGTAGTGGTAGGTTGCTGTTTTACAGAATCCCTTTCACCCTCAGAAAGTATCCCCAACCTACCAGGGCCCATCAGTGTGGCTCCCTACTCATACAGCATCACCTGTTAGAGAAATCCTGAAGCCTGAGATATCTCTCTGTTCTTGTTTGTGCAGGTGACAGGGTGCAACAGAGGATGAAAATGGAGTGATGGTGTGCTATTTTTCAAACACTGGGAAGGAAGAAAACATGAGACTTCTTTATTTGCATCTTTTGTTAGTATTTCCTTTGGGAGGAGGTGGAAGAATGACAAAAGAAAGTAGAAAGGACAGAGGGTGACATTTAAGTTTGATTATAGGGTTATAAGCTAACTTTATTTGAAGATTTTTGTTCGTCAATTATGAATGGTACATGCCAAAAACAATTCCTGCCCTCTCGGAACTTGTTACCTACATCTGACTTCCCTGGGGGGCATGGTTGCTGGTCAAATTCTAGCCAAAGGCCAAGGGAGCTCACATAAACTTGGTGTTAGAGAGAGTATTTATGGAGGAGAGAGAAAATCTTAAGAGGCTTCAGAGGAGGTGAAGACCCAAAGGAGAAGTTAATTGCAGCAAAGTTGTGTTGAAGGGAAGAAGATAATGTTGATCTCTCAGATCTCCTGACTCTAGTTCTGGGTCATTTTATAAAATATTTCTAATTTCCTAAAAAATTAAGTATTTGATAAGACAGTTATTTGCATGTGTTTCTGATCCATTTCTTTTCTTGATTTAGAAATGTAAGGAGATAGACACTCCTGAAGTTTTCTGTCTACCTGATACAACAGCAAGTTAATTGGGGACAGTGAGAGAATATGCTATAAACATACTGGGAAGGGCCAGGAGATAGCGCAGCAGCATAAGTGCCTGCCTGGCAAGTGCAGTGTCTGGAGTTTGATGCCTCGTGCAATCAATCAATCAATCTGTCCTTTGGGGGATGGGCATTTGGATCAAATATGAACAGTGAGCACAATGACATTGTTAAAATCTCTTCCATTCAAATACTGGTTAATTCCTCAAATAAAAGTTGTATTTTATACGTAAGAAACAGCCTAGATGGAAAATAATGTAATTTTAAGAACTTTTGTAATTTAAATCTGATTGCCAGGTGATTAACAAGGATTTGTGAACCCTGCTTGAATTTTCTGGGTGTTTTTTTCCAGACCTTTATCCACAGGCCTATGTTTAAAGAACACTAGTGGCCAATGTCAATCACTAAGTCAATGCGATTGAGTCTTCCAGTATGCCATTAGGGTCACCAGAGTTGGAATGTGGACACCAGAAGTGACTAGACTTGGGTTTTCCAACCTAACTTTAAAAGGAGAAATGTGGTAAATGTGGACAGGAAGATTAGAAGTTAGGGAAGAGGGCAGAGCACTCCAGTAGGGTTGCCATCCACAGGAAGCCAGTGCAGGTACCTGTTCATCCCTTCCCTCCTCGCTGTTATGTGACTATGAGCCTCCAGTCTTGCTTGGCTTGACCTGGGCCACTGCCTCCTCCCTACACCTTCACTGCTCTGAGCAGCTTGTCTCAGCAAGAGTCCAGAAGCACTTGTCATGGTGGAAACGCCCCAGATGTGAAGCCGGTAGGGGAATCACCCACATTTCCACACCTTAAAGGCTACATCTCAGAGTTAGAGTAAGCCTGGGGCTGAGGTGGATCTGCAGATTCCTACTGGTGGCTTCACTGTGCCCTAAGACCAAATTACACCTTGTTTGTAGCATGAACTGGCCACAGGTGGCCACTGTCCCAACACCAGAAATCCCTCCCAACTGTCTCCCATCAAGCACGTATTCAGCAGTCAAGAAGCTGCTGTAGTTTAAGAAAGGATAAACAACAAAGCCCCTTAATGAACACTGATTAGACATTCATTAAAAGGTATACAGCATTTGCTGCCTGGGTATGACTGTGTGAAGCCCTTAATAGGTGGAAAATGGCAATAATAGGGCTGAAATCATGACACTAGCAATAATGCTTACCTAGGACCAGGTAATTTATAAGCCAGTCCTACATTAGTGTCAGAAAATTTTGCAAGTAGGCAATGTATTGTACCATCATTTTATATTGAGAAAGCCGAGCTACTGAGAGTGTGGAGCTGGTAAATGTTTAATAACTAATTAGGAAAAAAAATAAGCCCTGAATTCAAAGCAGAAAAATGATAGTTGTAGAGTCACCCAGATACTAGATTCCCACATTCACTTCTCATCCTTTTGCATCATAAGTCAAAGCCATAACTGGTCATCTCAAAGTCTTTCTTTAAGGAAAAATGTGTGCATATCCCGCAAAGCTGGACAAGAAAAGGTGCTGGGGATAGACGGTGGAGGGGGAGGGGATTCTTTGGTTGGTGCAGACTGTCCCCCACCTGGGCAGAGGGAGGAGCAGTCCCCACCGCACCCCAGGACTGGCCCACATCCGTGCTTCTGTTCCCAGGTCTCCATTGCACATGTGCAACCAATTTTAAATTGGGCTAGAAGACTCCTCGGGCTGCCTAAGCAATCCCCTACCTCTCGTTCTCCTGCCCCAAAGGGTCACACATTTCCCAAGCTATTTTGAGCTGCTCTGCACCTACTTGCTTGCTATAGTTGTCATAACAGGAAGCGGGTTTCATACACTGTAATCTCCAAGCACACGTTGCGCCTGCACGTGTAGTGCTGAGGGGCCAGAGAGCCCTGAGAGGCCGCAGGGCTGAGCCCTGAGCCCATCCCAGGGAGGACATCCCCCCTGCCAGGCCCAGGAGTCACAGGCCTGATTCCATATCTAGACAGTCTTGTTTTCCTTCCTCATGTAGTTGGTGGTGAGGTTTTTCTTTTTTTTTTTAATAAAGCATTTGAGTAGGCAGCAGAGCCAGTCAGAGGTGTTTATTTATAGCTGTGGATTTTCAATGCTGTATAAATTAGAAATCATTGCTGAATGAGGCCCGCGCCCACTCACACACGCAGGGCCACTATCTGGGAGTCCTTTCACACAGTTTCACTGTACACAGTCTAAAATGGGAGAAAATGACATGCTCCGAGTCAAATGACGGAGTCACAGCTAAATGGCAAAGCAGAAAACCAGCAATTATTTTTCCTCAGCACAATATGGGGAGTACGGCAGGTGCAATTATCCAATATTATTTAACAGCACCGAGTTGTTGTGTAGGGAGAAAATAAAGGTTTCCATGTCTTAGAGAGGAAAAAAAAAGAGAGAGAGAGAGAGAGAGAGAGAAAGAACCTGCCTTGCAGCAGCTCTTGTTTCTGGGGATTAAGCTGTGTTACGTAAATTGAAACTGGCCAGGATTCAAGAAGAGAAGCCTGACTCCTGGGCCACCATCCCCACGGGTGTGCAGGTCCTGCCCTGGTGAGGGCACTGAGGAAAGGCCCCCAGTCTGGGACCCCAGGACCTGCACACCTCTACCCAGGCAATGGCTCCAGGTGACTGAGGAGAGGCAGGGTTGGCTCCTGTCCATCTCGAGGGCATCTTCTGTCCTGTTCTCAAGGACACACCCTCCTGCCTCTGGCTGGCTTTCCCTCAGCTGACCACAGTGACACCAAACAGAAGGTGTCCCATCAAGAGCACCTTTCATCCCCTTTGTGGTCTTCCCCTTTGCCTCCAATGCATTGTCTTTATTGCCAAGACTTGACTCGAACCCATCTACCTGGGAAGACCTTTCTCTGCCAGCTATGGTGGATGGGCTGGGGATATGACTTGGAGCTAGAGTGCCTGTCCAGCACGCTTGAGGAACTGGGCATCTCCAGTGCAGCATACGAAAAATAAAAAGAGCTAGGGTAGAATAAATGTTATTCAAGGCTGCAGGCCTCATTGGGAGGCCATTTCCCAGCTCTTCTGGAAAGCTTCCGCACTCCTCACTCCCTCCCACACCCCTGGCATTGGCTCCCATCTTTTCTAAACTCCCTCATCTTCCATGTCAATCCCGTTCTGTGTCCCATTGCTCTCTGTGCTTAGCTTCTGGGTCTCTAATTCCATCATGCATGCCATCTTGGAAAGAGCCTCCACTTTAGACCCACTTCAGCCCAGACTCAAGTTCAGATTCTGACTCCCTAGTTATCTGTATTGAGGCTAGGGAGAATGCTTTGCTTTGCAGAGCTTTGATTCCTGTCTCTAAAGATAACATATTATCTACCATGATAAGATTAAAGTGGTGGATAAAAGTTCCTGGCATTTGAGATACTTCATGTTGATTGTAAACTCCTGAGGCCAAGGGCTGTCTTTATTTCCAATAGGGCTTAATTCTGCATGAATAGAAAGCAGGGAAAATGTAAACTGACTCCAGGAATACTTCAAGCTTGAGCTAATCACCAAAAATCTTCCACCCTAGGCCTCCCGAGAAGCTGAGCTGTCCAACTTTAGATAATCTGTGTCATTAGGAGGCTCTCTAGCTTCAATACCAAAATGCTGTAATAGAGAAGATCAGATTATGGTTTCATGTGATCCTGCACAGGAAAAAGAACTGGGATAAAATAGGACACAGGACAGATTTCGATAATAAGGGGAAGATGAGGGGTGGGCAGGAGCCTAAGAATTGTGAGTAAGTGGAGCACCGAGATGGACCAACTGACCATGCCAAGGAGAGCCTGCAGGGAACTGGGGTCCTTAGCATGAGAATGCACTTTGATGGGAGCAGGAGCTGCTGAAGACAAATGCTGCGCACCTCAGGATTTATTCCACTTCAGATGCCTGCGCATCTCTTGCTAAGGGATGACATGTGCCGTCATAGGGACTGTCTCTAAGAGATGGACTTTATTACACCACCATGGCCGTGACCTCGTTGACCTATTTTGTATTTGTCAGCTTTGTCCCTGCTGAGACTCAAAGCCCAACCTCCACAACTTAAAGGCAGAAAAGTATAATTGAGTTCACAGTTTCAAAGAGATTCAGTCCAGGGTCAACTGCACCCAAGGCAGGAACATTGTGGCAGAAGGGCCTGGCAGAGCAAACTGCTTGGTTCACGGCTGCCAGGAAGCAGAGCAGGGAGGAGACCATATGCAGTGTCCAAGGTTACACCTCCACAGCCCACTGAGACACACTGGAAGTGGGTTTTACTAACTGGCCAGGCATTTCTTAATCCAGCAAAGCTGACCTGCCAAAACCAATGGTCAGCTTCTCAGACCCAAAAGCTACAACTCTTGTTGCATAGGTCCTGCTTTACCTTGGTCTTAACCATCCAGTAGAAAAGTATGAAGACGAAATATAGGAAGTAAAGCCATGCTGTTATGTTGAGCTGTGGGGGACTCAGGTCAACAATTTCTGACATTACCAGTTAAACAGAAGACCCAGTGCTATTATGGGCTACTGGACTCTTTTAGAATATTTTGCTGAGTTTACACACCTACAATATTCAAATAACGGAACTTAACAAAAAAAGGGTGTACAGATGAATGTCCATTTTGTATCTGTGTATTCAAAGTGGTTAGGATAGATATATAGTTACATTCTCTTAATGAATAGAATGATTTGTTCTAATGGTGTTTGTAAATAAGATCTCAAGTCTGCATCTTGTATAGCAATTAACCACTAAGAAGAATATATGCAGTGTATTATTTGTTGAAACTGTACTTCCAATTTGATTTGAAACTGTCTCATTGCTATCTGTTTATCAATAAAATTATGAAAAAATAAATAAAAAAGTAAAGCCTTATTAATATGCTGAGCTATAAAAGGCTCAAGTCAACAACTTCTGACATTGCCAGTCCTACTGATAACCCACTACTATTATGGACTACTAGACTATAGTGGAATATTTTGCTGAATTCATGTACCTACAATATTTAAATGGCAATGGAATACCCATCTCTGACAAAGTTAAACAAAAAAAGGGAACATAAATGAAGGACCATTTTGTATCTGTATATACAAAATAGGATAGATATACCACTACTTTGTCTTAATTCAATGAGAAGAAAGATTTGTACTAATGTTTGGACAGGATATCATGTCTGTATCTTGTACTATGAATAACCACTATGAAGACAACAATATGCAATGTATTAATTATTATTATTATTATTTTTTTTTTTGCGGAACCAGGGATTGAACTCAGGCCCT